CAAATATAAAAAATATTTAAAAAGAAAATAAACCATCCCTAGGCCACCCCAGATTTTGCGTATGGGAGTGAGTTACACAATTGAATTAGACAAAAAAAAACAGGAACACAAATATAGTTCGTCGATGATGGCGCTCATTGTACAAATGATACACAATAATATGATTTAAAAAAAAAGCGCTCGTTATGTTTAGAACAGCAGCACTTTTTTGGAACAAGTACGTCTCATAAAAATATATTCATTTTCATCGACAATTAATTCCTGATAAATAAAGTGCAACACGCAGAAAAAAATACGGTAAGAAAGTAATGATTTACCCACCACAAGTCTAGTATCATTCAGAGTATTGCAGTTGAGTCACAGTTGACAAAATCGTTGCCTTCTAACGTTATTCAGTTTGCATATCATCCTTACATGTAGACATTATTTTGGGCGATTTAATCGCGCGTGTTGTGACTGCTGGAATCATAGAAATGACCATACAAGCACCAATTGTAACACACTGACTAAAAACATTAGCTCAATGTGAGAAGAGAAAGAGGGCATATCTATCTCGTGTGTATGTGACAGCACATGATTCATCTCCCAATGAAAATGAATAAAGCAGGTTTCCGAGTAAATGAAACAAATTTTAAAATTAGGGATGCAATTCAAAGGGTCACACGAACAGACACGAAATCACCCGCTTATGAGTACATGTTATACTTACATATGAATTTTCATAGACTACTGAAAATACAATACAATGTCACGAAACACGTACAACACATCCCAATATACCAGTCGAAAAACAGCCAAAAATATAGCATTCTTTGAATGGCAAGCCTGTTTTAACACTATCCCCTTTTTGTGCATGTTTTGTACATGTACATTTCTTTCGTTTATGTTCGGAAAGTGTTTTCCTCCTCGCAACTACTGACTGTGGTTTAATATCAAAAATTATTTGAATGGTGCATTATTTGTTACTAACATCGATTGAAAGTTTATTTACACAAAAAAAGTTACTTTTTCGGAGCTTTGGTTGATACTAGTCCGGCGGCATTATGGTATCACCCACCCACTCCTCTCTACGAACAAGCGATATCTTACCATTAATTGATGCTAGATTAATTGCAATTCTTTGTATATATACGTATATTAGCACATCGGAATTATTTCGTTGTAACCTCATAATATTATCCAATTATATTGAATGTGGTAATGTTACAGAAAGCCATGGTCTCACTCTGAGGTTTGTGGAGTATGGTTATTTGCACTTGTTATGCAGTGAATCCGTGAGACCGTGTTTTCACGAACGAAGCGAATCGGGCGTTCTATTTAATCATATGCAAATGAAGGCAAACGCACACTCGTTGCAAACAGAAAAAAAAAGTGTTACCAATAAAAACAAGTTAATATATCTACTGTGACAGAGTCTTTGCGTATTTTCAACATCGATATCGGAAAATAAATGTGACGATTTTTAAACATTTTCAATCGCTTTTGATGTGAGTTTTCAATGCTCTTCAAACTGAAATGTTTATTGTGTAGTGTGTTGATCTATGTAGAACACATTGGTTTGCTGTTAAAAAACGAACTGAGCAGATACACTTTACCATACACTGAGTTGTACAGTTCCGGACTGTGAAGGTGCCTTAAAGTTTTTTCAATACTTCATGGACGCGTGACTAATTCCACAGTTGTGTCATGTCTCTTTATATGTTTGTGCGAAAAATTAACTATCCAGTCGCGCGCACTACTAATTTATATAAGTGCATTTATAAGTGCATACCGATTTTTTTCTTTTTTATTTAAGTGTCAATATTGATATAACTCAGTGTAGAAAATGAAGTATCAAAGTGGTTCAATAAAACGTCGTTCACGTATCTGTACAAAAGTATTACTTGGTTAAAGAATGAGCAAAGATATGACACATAATAGGTTTAAGCTGACACAAACTTAACACCAGTATAGGGTATAGCAAAGTATGCCATAATTACGTTATACTCTCACAATCACAACTAGTATCAAGACAATGAACTATAGGCTCAGTGGTTTTGTTGTTACATTTACACAGTCATTATTGCCTCATAAACGATTCTCCATTCTTTTGAAATCGCGATTTGAGAGGGCTTTTCTTCGTGTGAACTATACAACGTGTTATCAATTACGAATGTGTTATTAATATATGTAATGTATGATAATGTAATTTGCAATATTGTATAACCTATTTAGGGCACTAGTATATGTGAATTCCTCACTCGGGGCTAGAAGGTTTCTAATGCCTAACATATATTATATATGAATCACTGTACACCTGGAGGAAATAGGCTTACACTTGTGTTTTCATGGCGATTTCATATATACTTAACATGTCTTATTGCTCGATAACAAAACCCCCTCAGCGTCGATCTTCACGCAATTCCCATTATTGGTGGATTTCCACTTCAAGTAACTTGGCT